TCGGCAGCCGAATCGGGAAAAGTCGAATCGGCGGAAATCGGCAGGCGAGTATGCCTCCAATAAGAAATCGGAATCCAAATCGGAATCCCTTGTCGAATCGAATCGGAATCGGAATCCATCGAAGTCGAATCGAATCGAATCGGAGGAATCGAAACGAGCCCTAGCATCTTGGACCATCTGGCGAAAAAATAAACGCCCGATCCAAAAAATGCACTGGGAATGGAGGGGGCAGGCCTCCCCAGAAGGCGGCGGGGCTTCTCGGAGGCCCTCGCGCCCTCCGAGAAGCTTCTTCCTGTAAGCCCTTTCCGAAGACAGCAGACGACATTCGCGAACGGCGCGAGGGCTTCCGAGAAACCCAGCCGCCTAAAGTTTGTTCCCTCTTAATTCGTCCCGGGCGTCCCCCCACCGCGTCCGACACGGCATGGGTATTTTGCTTCTGCGCTTCCGGGGTCGGGCGATGGCCGCCCCTGCTGCTGCTATTGCTGCCCTTCCTGCTCGTCCTCGACCTCGTCCTCGTCGTCCTCGTCCTCCGCCTCCTCGTCCTCCTTCCTCCTGCGCCTCCTCCCCCCCCTCGTCCGCCTCCTCCTCCTCCTCATCCTCCTCGTCCTCGTCCTTCTCGCCCTCGTCCTCATCGTTCTCCTCTTGTTTCCTCCCTCTTGCTCCTCCTCCTCGCTCTCCTCGTCCTCCTCCCCCCGGGGGGGTCCGTAGCCATTTTGGCTCAAGCCATTTTGGCTCAAGATTTTGCTTTGGGCGGGCTGAGCCCTCTTTGGCAATCACGGATACCGCTATTCCGCGGCAGTGCCAGGGTGCTTGCGCCCGACATCCATTCACCCGTCCGCCCCAGGTTGGAACCCATCCTCCACCGAGGTGGGTCGGTGAGCTCTGCTGAGCATTCCAAAGGGCGGGAAACAACTTCAGGGCAAGGGCAATGTGCGGGGCTTCGCCTGGTGCCAGAGCTGCCAGAACTGGGCTTGGAACTGGCGCTTCAAGCGCCAGGACGGCAAGTGCGGCGTCTGCGACGAGACCGGTTTTTTCCCCGACCCGAGGTGGAACGCCTGGAACACCGCTGACGGCGGCAATTACGGTGGCGGCAGCGGCGGCAACCAGAAGGGTGGCAAGCGTGGCGGTCAAGGAGGTGGGCAGCGTGGCGATTCTGTCCAAGACCTTCTTCAGAAGTACCTGGCCGCCGCTGGTCTCTCCAACGACCCCACGGCGTCCGGCCTGGTCGACAAGGTGCAGGTCCAGGCGCTTGCCATCGCGCTTAAGGCCCCGCCGAAGTGCCCCTACGTCTCCAGAGGGAGGCTGCTGCCAAGTGTGCACAGAAGCAGAACGCCCTCAACCAGGCCACGGAGAATCTGGTCCAGGCGGAGGAGCGCCTCCATGAGGCGAAGGAGCGCCAGCTGTCTGTGGCGGCGGCGCTCTACGATGCGGACCAGGAGCGCATCCTCGCCCAGGAGGCCGTCAACGCGAAGGAGGCGCCGCTCCCGCCTGCCGCTGAGCCTTTCGGCGTCGACGCTGAGCTCTTCCAGCTCATTGCACATTGACGAGTTTGAGGAGCTCAGGTGCAGTTGCGCGAGTTCCAGCCGCAGCTCGCGGCAGCCAGAGAGGAGGCCAGGCGTCGCGAGAAGCAGTTCCAGGACATCCTCACGCAGGCTCGCAAGGCCCTGGCGGCGCCCAAGAAGAAGCGCAAGGGCCCTGAGGGCGAGGCCCAAGGGGTCGATGAGGAGGCCCCGTCAGGCCACGCCGATGGCAGCGACCAGTCGCCTGCAGGTGCGCCGCCCCCCGCCAAGGTGGCAGGCAAGGGCCCCGCCCGGCGGCGGCCATCGCCCACATTGCCGAGGGCGCCCACGCGGCCAAGACCACGGCGGCGGCTGCGGGTTCGGCCGCTCCCCAGCCTGCTCCAACGGCTGTTGCCGCTGGCCATCCTTGCCATAATCGGGCGACTGGCGGCGCCCCGCCGCCCACCACGTCAGCGTCGTCGACGCCGCCGAGTACCTCTACGAGCATTTTCTTCGCCAACATCACCTAGTGGGGCCCGACGGCCCAGCGGTGCATCACGCAAAACCGCTTCAAGACCTCGGTGGCCGGCCTGGTCGAGACCCACAAAGGTCAGGCCCCCAGAGACCAGGACACAGATAGACCAGGACACGGAAAACTATGGCAACGACATTTTTTCATGCAAAGTCACGTTTTTCAGCACCCGTGCATGTTTTGCTTACTGCACTGCAGGATTCGGGATTGTGTCCAGGTTTAGGGGTGTCTTGCAGGCTTTTGAGGCCTGTGTCCGGGCTTGGTTCTGAAATGCTGCAGTGCAGCATTTTGTTCGTGCCGCCGTTTGGAAAAATTGGTTTCGAGGGGTGTTGGGTGTCAGGGTCTACCGTGTCCGGGTCTACGGGGCCCTGAAAAGGCGCCTCCGATTTGGACAGGATCGGGGTGGATTTTCACAAGGGCGGGCGGCTGCTCCATGCCACCGCAGCGCGGCCCTCGGGGCGCTCTGAAGCTGGATTGCCAGGAGGCGAGCGGATGCTCTCCCGATCCCATGTCGACACCACGCCCTTTTCAGAGGACGCGCAGCACGATGAGTTCGGAGGGACGGGTGGATCCATGCAAGGGTTTTGCGCCGCTCGCTCTCCACATGAAGCTTGGCAACGTTGTGGCCATTGCAGCTCATACACAGCCCGGGCTATTGTTTCGAGGCATCACCAACGACATTATGGTCGCCCTGGCGGCCTTCACCAGTGCCCACGCGGACCCTTGGTTGATCGCAGCTGATTGGCACGTCGAGCCAGAGGGATTCCGCGAGAGTGGATGGTCGCGCCAATTGGGAGGGCGCTTCGCCTTGCCCGGCTGCAAGGCCACGTGCGACAAGGGCAGGGGCAGGATATGCGATCATGTCGTAGCGTCCATTGGCTGCCCCTCGTTGAAGGTCTCGGCGGAGCTGGCTGCACCTTGGAAGACACACTGCGCGCTTCTCACTGAAGTGGGGGGAGCCTGCCAAGGACGGCGATGCGCGCAGCTCGCTACACCAAGCCCGCCGCCTTCTACGCCCAATCCCCCCAGGGCGCCTGGCCCCAACAGCCAGAGGCGCAGCGCGTGCTAGCTGCCAGTCGCGCTCGCCGAGAAGATGCCCTTCCTCTTGAACGACGGGAAGGCTTCGCCCACGTCGACGAGCTCTTGCAGGGGGGCGAAGCTGAGGATGCACGCGTCCCTCCCTCGTTCGCGGCGTGCATGGGGACCTGGCTGGAGTCAGCTTCGGCCTTGGCGGGCCCGTCGAAAACTCGCCCTACTTCGCTTGCGGGAACGCCCTCGGATTCGGCATCCTGCGCTGGCATGCGCGCCCTGGACGAGGCCCGCGGAGTCGGGGGAGCGCCCCGCGGACTCACATGTACTACACCAATTGCTACACCCTCGGCCGTGGCGTCGCGCGCCGGCACGCGCGCACTGGTAGACGCACACGGGGTCGGGGGGCTGCCCCGCGGGCCCACATGCACTGCGGCTTCTGCTGTTAGAACGCAAGCCCCAGCCCCCAGGTGCACCCATGCGGCAAACAGCGAGAGGGGCTGGGCTCAGTCGCCGAGCGGCTTGCTGGAGCCCGCCCCCCAGGTGCACCCAAGGGGAAAACAGCGAGTGGGAGACGCCCGCCTCGATGCTGGAAGTTGCCGCGGGTCGCGGCGTCGATGGGGGATTCACTGAGGCCGAGGGCCAGGGCCCTGCGAGGCGAGCGGCCGCGTCGGCGCGCATGACGCTCGAGAGGAGGCTGAGGGCCTACACCGCGTTCTGGCTTCAGGACGTCTCAGTGCTTGATGAAGCTGGAGATAGAGCGCACTGGCTGCGATTGCGCGCGCCCTACGTGGCCGACTGGCTGATGCACGGTGCGCGGGCGCCTTTCGTCTCCGAGGCTGCTCGGGCGGCAGGCGTCGACACTTTAGGCGTGGTCAGACTCTGGATGGCGCAGGACTTCTGCGAGGAGGCGCGGGCTGCAAGGCGGCGCGCGCGTGCCGGCTATCACGCCAGCACGCGCAGGCTTGCCCAGTCCGACGAGCAGGAATGGGAGGAGCAGGTGGCGCGCCACGGCCGCTCCATGATCGGGGCGGAGGAGGAGTTCGGCTCGGTGCCTGGCAGGCGCGCTGCTGGCGCCGCCCGCTGAGCCGCTGCCGCGGCGCCTGCCAGGTCGCCGTCGGAGGCGTCGAGTACGAGAGGCAGGCCCGGCAGGGCCGCGCCCGATTTGGAGGGGGACGGCGGGGGGCTGGGGTCTCAGGTTTTCATCGGAGCTGGGCCTCAGCGAGGTGGGCAAGATACTCGTGCTCGGCGACCTTCCGTCGGTGGGTCAACCACGGACGACAAGTTCAATTTTTATGTGTTTGTGATGCCGGACGCTGAGGAAGGCCTGGTCGAGCTTCCTACTGGTCAGCCCGTGCCAGTTCCAGTTGGCGGTCTTCCGTTTCGCCCTGCTTGGGAGATTGCGCCTATCACCCCGCCGCTGCCCCTCGCAGGCGCTTGGCAGGGAATGCCAGATCGACGCCCCACCTGAGACGCAGCACGCACGCAGGCCAGCGAGCCTGAGGCGGAGCCCGCGCCTGCCGACAGCGGCTGCCAGCACAAGGGCGTGGCCAGCGGACTTGACCCACGCGCAGTTGCAGTTCGGCAAGTTGCAGCGGCCTCCCTGGCCAGAGAGCGTGCTCATCGAGCTCGGCCCGCGGCATCTAAGTCTGCCTACGATTGCAAGGATTACACATCTTCGAGTGGGCCTCGGCAGCTCGGGCCAGCATCACTGACGACTACGACATTTGGGTCAGCACCGTGGAGCCTTCCTGCGAGCTGAACAGAAGCCTGCGGATGATGCGGGGGGCCACATCGGCCGTGAAGCGGGCGCCGCCACTCGATGCCGCAGGCGCAATCCAGCTCCAGGCAGAACCCATATGCGTAATGAATGTGCGTAATGGTGGGGCATTACAACCACGCTGATCTCTCGACATGCGGCCCCCGTGCGTTGCGGCAAGGATCCTGCCCAACCTGACCGTTGCATCCAGCGCCTTGGCATGCACGTCGCTACCTCGGACATGGGCCGGAAGGATGGCTACTTTGGCAAGCGCATTACAGTGGAGCTTGCTCAGGGCTGGGTGCAGGATGCAGGAGCCCTGCAACACCTCGACGACGATGGATTCCAAATGTTCCTGGGGTTTTCGCACAAATGCACCGGCTTGGCTCAGGGTTGCGCCCTCATGGCCTCCAGGTCCAACTTCATGGCCTGGATCAAGAAGCAGTGGAAGGAGAAACCACGGCTGGCCCATGCCCATGTCAAGCCACAGGCTGGCCCACAGAAGGAGACGCAGGACTCGCAATTCCGCGCTGTCAGCGATCCTCAGGGCATGTTGGAGCTATATCGGGGGCAGCGGGATAAGATTTGGACAGAGCGAGTTTACAACGCGACCGATTTTCGCCATTGGCGCAGTCAGCTCCTGGAAGACGCTCACGCCCAAGAACTGCCAGCTATCACCTTGGACCAAGTGGATGGTGCACTCAAGCCCATGGCTCCTGGAAAAGCGCCAGGCATTGATGTACTGGGCCCTCGTGATGTGCAGCGCCCTCCCGGTATTGCGCGACGACAGCTGGTGGATATTCTCAACAAGGCCGAGCGTGGAGGCGCCTGGCCGACCGCCATCTCCAGGGCTCTTGGGACCGCCATCCCCAAGGAAGCGGGTGGCTGCCGCGTCTTGGGCTTGCTGTCCTTGCCCTTCAAGCTGTGGAGCCGCATTCGCACTGCGCCCTCAACTGCATGGTCTGAGAAGCAAGGTGCACTCTGGGATACTGAGATGACTGGGAGTTCGGCACTACGTGCTGCGTTTGCGCGCGCCGTCGTGGATGAGTGCGCCAACGAGCTCTGCATCCAGCATGCCGCGCTATTCCTGGACCTGCAGAAGTTCTACGACTCGACCTGTTTCGTCCTCCTCATGCAGGCGAGCCGCTCTTTGGGCTACCCTGCGACCATCACAGTGATGGAGGTCACCATGTACGCCTCCCCCAGGATGTTCAAGAGGTCGCAATGTCAACCTGGCCTTCCAGGCGGGCAAGTCGGTCGTTGATGGGTCGCCTCGAGGTGTGGACATGGCTAACGCCTTCCTGCATGGGATTTTGCAGAAGGCTCACGTTGTGTCCCTGACCACGGGGCTTTGGACATTGATTGATGACGCCGTCTGCCGCAATGAAGGTGTCGAGATGAGGGTCGTCGGAGATATGCAAATGGCTGCCGAATCTCTGGCCACCTCCTTCCAGCAGGCTCGGCTCACCATTTCGGACAAGACAAGACTGGTAGTGAGCTCGCCTGGCATCGGGAAGGAGCTGATCTTCTCGCTCACCGCAGTTGGTATTCCAGTCAAACTAACTGGCTCAGCGGTGGACTATGGCGTGGATGTTGCAGGTGCTAAGAGGCGAAGCCAGAAGAAGTTCCGCGCGCGGCTCGAGAGGGCCAAGCTGCGCTCCAACCGGATCCACAAGCTGCGCCGACTGCATGGGAGGCACAAGGTCGCGCAAGGCCTGTGGCGACGGGATCCCACCCTGCGCCCACCTACGGACACCAAGTGATGGGGGCCCCATCCGACCACTGCGCTGGGCTTGCGCCGCCAGGCGGCCGTTGCCATTGTCAGGCAGACGGCGCTGCAAGCGACCCTCGGCATCGACGACCCCGGGGTGCTACTGCGGCGGGCTCTGAATACTGAGTGGATCAGACTATGGCTTGCGCAACCTGCTTTTCACACCCGGATCAAGCGCGCCTGGTCTATTGTCCGCGCCAAGCTGGGCGACGAGGTATCCTGGCGCGGCATTCGAGGCCCCTGTGCAGCCCTGCAGGCTACTCTTACCCATGCGCGTTAGGAACCGCTCTCGGCTGTTACTTGGCGGCGTCACGGCCCCACTGGCGCAGGGGATTGGTCTTTTCCCACCGTGGGAAACGACGCCTTCAAGGACGCTGCCTTAGGCGACTTTGACGAGTTGCTCGCCGCTTCCTCTGCTGACGTTGCTCGGACTGGATGGCGCAAGGCTGCTGCCCACCCCCGCGGCGAGACCCTCACTGGCGGTGCCGATCTGCAGCTGGCACAGGCAGAATTAAATTCCTTCGCGAAGAATGGCCCCATGGACTTATGAGGAGCGACGCTGGCGGTGGTCTCGGGTGGACAGTGGCCTCGGGGCCGCAAGTTGGAGGCGGGCTACGTCGTGAGCCCGCATTGCCCTCGCTGCCAACAGTGCCGCGAAACGTTGTTTCACCGTGTCTGGGAGTGCCCAAAATACAGTTGCCACGATGGTTGCAGTTCCATCGATTCTTTCATCACTGCAGCCCTTGCGGGCGCCTGCCCCGACCCTGCCCTTTGGCTTCGAGGGGTCCCTGCGTCCTCGTTCACTGTGTCACGGTTTGTGGAGTCTCCTGGGCTCTCCGACCCCATCCCCATGGGCGGCATGCCCTTGATGGACCTCTCGTCGCCGCTGGGAGGGCACCCTCTTTATGTTTTTGGGGGTGGGTCGGGGGGGAAATGCACGTCTGCCGTCGCGGGCGCCGCTGCGGATCGGCCGCGGCGTGTTTGGGGCGCGTTTGCGACGACGCGGTCCCCCCCCCCCCCGACCGAAGCGCGGCCCCCAAGGAGCGGACTCGCTGCCCCCATGTCTGGAGCAGTTCAGACTGTCCCCAGGGCTGAGCTGCTTGCCCTCGCCCTGGCCCTCGAGCACACCCAGGGCCCCTCAGCGTACGCGTGCGATTGCAAGCTTGTTGTGGACGGCTGGAAAGCGGGCCGTCCTTAGCGGCCCGCGGGCCGCAATTCCGATTTGTGTGTCCGAATCCGCCTGGCGGCTGATCGCCGCGGGCCTGGAGTGGTGGAGGTGCTCTGGGACCCATCCCATCTCGAAGAGGAGCCAGAGCGCATCTCGTCCCCGTTTCAACGCTTCCTGTCTCAGGGCAACGCTGTTGCTGACGTCTGGGTGGGGTGGGTGGCGAAGCGGGGGTGGGATATGGTTGTTGCTCTGCCAGTGCCGCAGACGGACAGGCACGATGTCGTAGCTTCCTCGGTCCGTCTGCGTGCGAGGCGAGCGATGATTGATACCTTAGTCGTTGCACCTTGGAATGCGGATCGTCCTGCCAAGGTCCGAGCCAAGCCTTTGGCCAAGCTGCCGGCCGCCCTAGCCAGCACCCCCCGTCGCTAACAGAAGCTGAGCCAGGATTAGTTTTTTGTGTTGGCTGCCGTGAGCATGTGCATCCAGCCGACCTGACAGAGTTTGCGGGTTCGCCGTGCGGTGCCGTGTCTTCGTCTCCCCCTGTCGCCACGGCGGACGCGGCTCCTCTCACTGGTTCGGTGCCCGCCCCTGGCGGTGCGCCTGGTGCGGCCGATTGTCGGGGCGCCGTGCAGTGCCGTGTCGGCTGCCCGCAGTGGCGTGCCGTCGGTGCGGTCTCTTGGCCTGGCCCCTTTTGCTGGGCGGTTCACGGGCGTTGGTATCCCTCCTTGCCAGCAGTGTGTTTCGAGGGGGCCCCCAAGGAGGGGACCCCCCCAGGAAGGGGGCGGGGACCGAAGGCTCCGCTTCGCTTCGCTCGCAGCTCGATGTCCCGTTGGACGAAGCTGTTCGCGCGGCCGCGGCCGCGCGCGCGCGCGCCCGAGGCGCGCGGAGGGGGCCACCCCCCCGACACGGGTGGAGGAGGAGGAGGAGGAGGAGGAGGAGGAGGAGGAGGAGGAGGAGGAGGAGGAGGAGGGGACCCCCCCAGGAAGGGGGCGGGGACCGAAGGCTCCTCCTCTGAGTAGCCACCGTGGATGTGGCCCTCATCCGCATTCCTGCATGCCTCCCCCCCGGGGGCGTCCGACATGGCACGGGCAGGTGTTCCTGCTGCTCCAGGGCCGGACGGTAGCCGCCCCTCCTCCTCCTCCCCCTCCTCCTCCTCCTCCTCCTCCTCCTCCTCCTCCTCCTCCTCCTCCTCCTCCTCCTCCTCCTCCTCCTCCTCCTCCTCCCTCCTCCTCTCCTCCTCCTCCTCCTCCTCCTCCTCCTCCTCCTACTCCTACTCCTACTCCTACTGCTCCTCCTCCTCTCCTCCTCCTCCTCCTGCTCCTCTTCCTGCCTCCTTCCTCCTCCTCGTCCTCGTTCTCTTCCTTCTCCTCCCCCCCCTCCCTCCTCCTCCTCCTCCTCCTCCTCCTCCTCTTCCTCCCCCTCCTCGTGCTCATCCTCCCCCTTCCTCCTGCATAGTATCCCTCCTCCCTCCTCCTTTTTGCTCCTACTCCTCCTCGTCCTCCTTGTCATCCTCCCCCCCCCGGGGCGTCCGACATGACACGGGCATTTGATCCTGCATTTCCAGGGTGCTCTGCGCGCTCCGCCGCTGCGCTCGCCCGGCAGCGCAGAGACAGGCTTTATCGGGCCTTCGTAGACGTTTTGGCGGCTGCGCAGGTGCCGCCGATGATCCCGACCATTCCAGGCCTCCCAGGCGAGGTCCGAGTAGATGGGGTCGGAGGATCGCGCCGCATAGCCGATGCATCCGCGATGCGGCTCGATGTGGAGCCCGATATTCTGTTCGCCGGCGTCACCCATGTATCGCCGACGTCGCCGATGAATCGCAGATGCATCGCCGATGCATCGGTGGTGCATCGATTCATGTCGCAGTAGTCGCACCGCCGTGGTCCATCAGCGTTGGAGCTTGACGCAACAGGTCAGGAAGCAGTCTCGTTTGATGTCTGGCACGCGCCCAATGATGGTTTGGGTCCCCTTCCTCTCTGAAATAAGAACATGGCCTCCTTGGTCTAGTGCCTTGATTCAAACTCGGCAGGGATCTGAACATAGATCGTACCGTTCTAAGAGTATCTGAGTATTTTAGCTTGTGCCAGACGTGATTCAAAATGTAAGTCCTTGTGTGTGACCGACGCGTGGGCAAGGCGCAAGGAACTCAGCAGACAATGCTTTCCGTTCGAGCGCCTCCATACCAGATTCCTGTATTATTCGCCGCTCCTATCGTCTCCTGGCTGGGGAGGGGCCGGCTCGGAAAGACGTGGCATCAAAGAAGGCGCAGACGATCAGTTTTCGGAGAATTGAAAATTCGAACCGACGGGTACATGCTCGTGAGCAGTCCCGTCCGCTCAGGGGCAGCGATAGGGCAGCGATAGGCTCAGGGGGGAATGCATCGACCCCCAATCGCCCATTCATCGCCGATAGGGGCCTGATGGCACCCCCCACCCAGCAACGTGCGGATTCGCTACTGGAGGTCTATCGCCGATATGTATATATAAGTATTATTTATGTGTATATATGTATATATGCGATGCATCGCCGATTCCAGTTCGATGCTGCCCCCCCGCTGAGCTCGTCTGCCCCCCCGTATCGTTGCCCCTCAGATTCCGCAAGCCCGATCCAGACCTGCCAGTGCCTTGCGCGCAGCGGTCAGAGGTGGTGGAGAAGGTGGAGGAGGAGGAAGATGAAGAGGAGCAATAAGAAAGAGGAAGGATGAAGGAAGAGAAGGAGGAATGAGGAGGAGGAGTATGAGGATGACGGGTTAAGGAGAAGGGTGTAGGATGAAGGGGGAACGGAGGAATGAGGAGTAGGGGACAGATGGAGTAAGAGGAGGAGTAGGAGGGAGGAGGAAGGAGGAGGAAGGATGGAGGAGGAGGAAGGCTGGAGGAAGGAGGGGGGCGGGGGAGGAGGAGGAGGAGGAGGAGGAGGAGGAGGAGGAGGAGGGGGAGGAGGAGGAGGAGGAGGAGGAGGAGGAGGAGGAGGGAGGAGGAGGAGGAGGAGGAGGCGGAGGAGGAGGAGGAGGAGGAGGAGGAAGAAGAAGAAGCAGGAGGAGGAGGAAGGAGGAGGAGGATGGAAGGAAGGAGGAATGAGGGAGGCGCAGCGGTCGAAGGACCGACATAGCGCTCCTCCGGTGCGGGGCGCCGACCTCGCGCGATCGCCCCTTGCCTGGCCGGGCGCTGACATTGTTGCCCCGCCTTGGCCCCCTGGCTAAGCGCCCCCTTCAGACCATTGGCAAAGCCAGAGCTCGAAGAAGAAAAAACGGCATAAACATAAATGTTTGACGGTCCGATTCTTGGATCTGTGCTGGACCCCCCTCCCTGGCGCACGGAGCGCGCCAGGGGCGGCACCAGAGGCGCCGCTAGGGTGGTCCCAGCGCAGATCCAAGAACTCCGCGCAGAACGTCGAAAGTTGATGTTTATGCTGTTGCTTTGCTCGTCTAATAACAGGCCCAGCCCGGCACCCCATCATATCAGCATCTGGCCGCCTAGCCGGCCAAAGCGCCTGTTTGACCCCTGTTTGACCCCCCAAAACCAAGGCAGGGGGATAGCTCGGCGCTTCCCGTGCTGGACATCGGGGGTTTCTTAGTGTCGGAGGCCCTGAAGCGGTGTGGTGACCGCACCGTGTATTCTCGGATGTTTTCGTGGCTTCCTGGAGACCTTCTCGCCTTGGGATGCTTTCCAGCAGCTGCGCCTCGCCGAGGACTTTCCGGGGCTGCCTGGATTGCCCCGAACGGCCTCCAGAGACCCGAGGAAGGGCCCGGAAAAACCGAACGTTCGGAGGAGGGCCGGAGTGGTGAGTCAGTGGGAATCCCGGGTCACCGCACGATGTTGGGCCTCCGGTCGTTCGCCGAGGACGTCTCGGGCGACGGGGTCCTCCGAGGTGCCAAGGCCGCGCGGTGACAGACCGCGCGGTGAGGTCGTGGGAGAAGCCGAGGTCACCTCTCGCAATCTGTCACCACGGTTTTGGGGCCCCCGAGTGGGGTCCGACAGGGGCCTGAAAGACCCCCAAGGGGGTTCTCCACAGGGCTGCAGGGAAGGTGTCCACAAGGAGCCCAGCAAAGCCCCCCATGGGGCCCCCAAGGTTCACGAATGCCCGCCTTTCTTCCCCCCCGTCGCCTGCCCTGGCCCCCACGAAGCCACGTACAGGATGAGAGGGCACGCGCTCGCATCAACGCCAATCGAAGAGTAAGAGGAAGCAGAAGACAATACGCAGAATCAGGCCTAAGCTTTCGGGGGTACGCGCAGATCTCCTGGATCTTAGCGCTGGACCCACCCACCCCTCCATGGCGCGCGAAGCATGCAAGGGGCGGCGCTGGAGACGCCGCCAGGACGGTCCAGCGCCGGTTCAAGAGGTCCGCGCGGACCTTCGAAATGTCTT